GTGTTCAAGCGTTCATTGACAAAAAAAAAAAAGAGGGTATAGTGTTCACATTTGAATGATATATAGAGAGAGAGGCATTTTTATCAAAGGTTAACAAAACTTCTTCTCTTAGATCATGGTATAGATTTGAACAAATTTTGAAATCTTTATGATTTTAATTGTTTTTTGCTAAGAATTTGTTAAAAAAGTATATTTTCATAGATGTAGTATTATTAGAATAATGTGGCCAAAGTGGACTCATTTCGTTCTCGTGCTTGTGTAGCGCCCAGCTCATTTCATGCACGTGATCATGCTTAATGAGTAAAAGATTTGGCTCAATCTGATTTATGTACCGAGTTCTTTTGGGTGGTATAGGATTTAGGGTTCCAAAAGAACCACATTCGTGCCACCAAACCCCTCCTCCCCCTTCCATAATGGATGGTAGAAAGAAACATTGGGTGGCCACGGGCAGGGAGAAAGGAGCCACCGTCTATGGGCCGACTCCGACAAAGAGGTGGGGTTGGTTGTGTGGCCGTGGTCTGTTGGAGTGGAGTGGTTTCTAAATATAGCATTTTTATATATATAAAAAACAAAACCAAAAGGCATGTGGTAGATTTTGGTCGGTTTTATATATGAAAGTTGGAAGGTGATCATCATTGTTGCGCACTCAAAAAAGGGAGGATGGACCTTATATTATTAAGGCAATATTGTCTTTTGCGTGAAGGTGTAGGAATAAAATATATATTTTTGAAAAGGATATTTCAATGTTAACATCTCACGAGCTACAAAATACTAATGATTGCCTTATAAAGACAGAAAAAAAAAACAATATAATAGCAACAACCCACGTGAATCGCGAGATCATAAAATAAATGGGAGATCAAAATGAGCCCAAAAGTCTTTGATATGTCCAAATCATTATCTAATTCTTTTTATTTTTATGCTATGAGTATTTTGAGTTTTAACCACACATTTCAATTTAGAGATCCTATGCAGATGCTTTTGCATCTAAACCTCATGCTATTTATGGTTTACTTCATTTCTGTGGCCCCAGAATTCGCCACGAGTCTGCTTTTGTTTGATAATGTAGGTTTATAAAAAGTTAACCAAACTGAAGCCTACTCTGATGCAGATTGTACTTAGCTTCAGTTGAGGATCTTGCCACAAATGATTGCTTCTTTGCACTCCGATGAGAGTAGATCCTAGAAATATGCAATAACCTCCAGTAGATCATCGATCATAAGGGCAACCTGCCCAATCTGCATCAAAGTAGGCTTGCAAAGATAGAACATTGGTAGCTTGCTTTTGAATAAAAAGACCATGGCTGATTGTGCCTTTTTAAGGTATCTTAGAATTCTTTTTACCATTTGTAGATGAGGGTCTCTTGGAGTATGCATAAACTGACACACCTGATTGACTACATATGAGAGATCAGGCCTAGTCCAAGTAAGATACTGGAGAGTCCCCACAATAGAGCGATATTTAGCAGGATTAGGTAAGAGATCACTATTGTGATCCAATTTTGCAGAACCAACGGGACTGGCACAAGGTTTAGCACTAGTCATTTGCACCTTGGTGAGAAGGTTAGTGGCATACTTGGCTTGAGAAAGAAACAAACCAGTGGATGATCTCTGAACCTTGAGACCGAGGGAGTAATGAAGAGGACCAAGATCCTTGACTGGAAATAGTGCACCCAACTGAGTAATAACATAGGTACATTCTAAAGTAGAAGGACCTATGATGATAATATCATCCACATAGAACCAAAGAAGGAACTCGTTTGATTATAAAAAATAAAATAAAAAAGAGGTATCAAACTGTGAAGCACTAAAACCAAGAGAAAGAGGTGCTTAATGCAGTTTTTCATACCAAACTCGTGGAGCTTGCTTTAGACCATAAAGAAAATGATGGAGCTGATATACATGAGTAGGTTTAGAAGAATCCACAAAGCCTAGGGGTTGCTCCATATAGACAACTTCCTTATGAAAACCATGGAGAAAACCATTACTTACATCCAATTGATTAAGAAACTAGTTATGATGAACCACTAGGGTAAGCAAAAGTCTAATGGTGACTGGTTTGGCCATAGGGTTGAATGTTTCACCAAAATCCACACCCTCTTGCTGAAGATAACCTTTTTGCAACAAGGCGAGCCTTATATCTATTCACAGAACCATTGGGTTTTCGTTTGATTCAAAAAACCCACTTGCAGTTTACAAGATTCTGTTGAGGACAAGAGGGCGTTAAACTCCAAGTACCAATTAATTGGAGAGCATTAAACTTATCTTGCATGGCTTGTCTCCAAGGAGCAAACTTAGAGGCTTGAAGATAGGTTATGGGAACAAATTCTAAATCTGTAGGAATAATTGAAGTTGGCAGAGGATGTTTAGTGGTAGTGTCAAAAGGAAGTTGAGGTTTCACCCCAAAACCAATTGGCAATGGGAGGAGTAGCCCAACTCTTTAGAAGCCCTTGCTAGGTTTCT